GAATAGCTCAAAAACACACACTTCAAAGCCTTGAGGTCAAGCTTTGTACGAGTTTACCCTAACTGTTGAACAAAGCACGCACACCCGAAGACTCGTGGAGGAATAAAAAATAGAGATGAATTGGGATGTAAGATTGAGAGTGGGGCTGCAAAGTTAAGAATCCTAGAAGGAGTCCTATTAATGATGTAAACAACGGTAAGAACTGCATCTCCCCAAGGATGTGGCGATTCTTTCTCTCAGAATGACCATTCTGTTGAGGAGTTTTAACATTAGCCAGCAGATGCGCAATCCCAAATTTTGTACATAACCGTTGTACCTCCCTATAAGTGTACTCTGTACCCTAGTCAGATCGGAATTTTTTAGTGGTACGACCAAATTGAGTCTGAACCATTGTCATAAAATTTTAAAAAATGGTGTATACCTCATTTTTGGTTTTCATAAGATAAACCCAAGTAACACGACTATGATCATCAATGAACAACACGAAATATCGAAATCCAAGACTAGAAGTAACTGGGCAAGGACCCCACACATCTGAATGAACAAGATCAAAAAGTGTTAAAGCAGATTTATTACTACTAGTAGGATAATTGGAATGAACATGTTTAGCCATATGACATGTTTCACAGGATAAATCTGACACTGCCACGTTACAAAATAAGGAAGGAAATAAATGTTTCAAATAACCAAAAGAAATATGTCCTAAACGCATGTGCCAACGCATAAGCTGGGCTTTATTAGATGAAACAATATTAGAAAATGAAGCTGAATGTGCTTGCGGTGACAAAGGAGCATCTAACAGGTATAAACCGTCCACTTCACGCCCACTGCCAATTGTCCGTTTCAACACTAGATCCTGAAAAATACAATGAGAGGGAAAGAATGTTACACTACAATTTAATTGTTTGGTAACGCTACTAACAGAAATAAGATTTGTAGTCAACTTTGGAACATGAAGTGTATTTGACAAAGTTAATGAAGGAGTAACTGATATGTGACCCTTCCCAACAATGGAAGATGGAGAGCCATCCGCAAGGTGGACCTTGCGTTGGCCAGAACAGATACTATAAGATTGGAAGAGTGAGGACATACCAGTCATATTGTCTGAAGCACCAGAATCAATGATCCATGGTGTTGAAGATGTAGATACGCTATGTGCAGACGCGATAGTACCTGAGTGGGCATAAGTGGAGGTTGGCTGAGATGATGCCTCCATTTGGTTGAAGAATTGCTTGAACTTGTCCAAATCGGCTTAAGTCAAGGTAACTGTGGCAGAAGATATAGAGGCAGGGTTGTCAGGAGTTAACAACGAGATTGGTTGTGTAACAGAATGTACAGAGGATCGAGGCTGTTGTTTCTGTTGCGGTAGACGTCCATGTAAAACATAACAACGAGATTTGATGTGACCAATTTTTCCGCAATGGTCACACCGTCCACGTTGTCGTCCCATAGGAAGACCGGTGGTAGTGCTCTGAACTGACTGGGATGGTGAAGTTCTTGAAAGGTTGGGAATCCGAACTGCCATAGCAGAACAATCAACAGAAGCAACACCTAATGGATGAGTCCGGCAGCTCTCATCTGACAACACATAGGAATATGCACCCTTAAGAGTAGGGAATGAAAATAAGCCCAATAAATGAACACGAGTATACTCAAACTCGTCGTTCAACCCGACAAGAAACTGAAACACTCGATTCTTCTCCACAATTCCTGTATATAAAACTGCATCTGGATCCTCCCAAGAGTGGAATGAATCATAATATGACATCTCCTCCCAAATAGCACGAAGCTTGGCGATGTAACCTGAAACTGTCAAGTCACCTTGAGAAATCCTGGTGATATCTTGCCCCAGCTGGAAAATTCGTGCATTATTCTGCCTCTGAGAATAAGTGCGTTGAACTGAATCCCAAATCTGCTTAGCAGTCTTCATAAACATATAGCCAATAGCTATGTTTGGTTGCATCGAATTGACTAGCCAAGACATAACCATAGCGTTATCTGCAAACCACTGTGGATATGCCTTCTTTGACTTAGCTGCCTATTTCTCAAAACCAGTAATATAGCCAATCTTGCCTTTGCCACCAATGAACATCTTGGCAGACTGTGCCCAAATCAAATAGTTGGAACCATCCAACTTCACTGTGGTGATTTGAAGTCCTGGATTTTCTGATGAGTTGGTGGGAAAAATGACACCACCACCCATAGAACGTGAGCCAAGAGAATTAACAGTCGAGGACCCTGAATCTGCCATAATCTATCACACGACAATAAAAAGAACCCCAAAAATACCACAAATTCTGTTAATAAATCAAAGGGTCTCCTTAGACCATAAATAATGTCTCCTCAGACCATTCCCGAAAAATCCAAATACATACCTTTTTTAAGGAGCGCTGTCCGCTTACATATAATTATCCCAATTTACCCAACCCTATAAGAGTGAAAAAGAAATTATAAAACTTAAAAATATCTGTTTTCGATCACAAAACAGCAACACAGAAAAACATGTGCAGGCAACGTCATACAATGTCACAAACAGCCTAAAGTAGCTGTCGCACAAGTAGCAAGGCTGCTGAAAGGTGTGGAAAGGTGTTGGCTCTGATACCAAGTAGAAATAAAAAGAAGAGAAACGAGAGAATTGCGTAAAGGCTTGAATGAGATGAATAACCCATTCACAGCTCTAGTATTTATAGATAAAATGAGCACATGCTCATATTACAAGAAAGGAAACTAAATCAAATCATTGCATATTCTATGCCTAGACATATGCGCAAATAAAGTCAAATACATGATTTGTGACTATCATATCTCACAGATAATTTGGTAAATCACATCCCATGATTTGGCCCTATCATATCTCGGCTATTATGGTAAGTTATACCATAAATCGTGGTATCATAAATGCTAACACCAACTTTTTTGCTATATTAGCATGGCCCACACTCATATTATTCTAAGAGAATTGAATTCCTGTGGACCTCAACTCTTCCAATTGTGAGTGATTAAGGCAGTCCCAAAAATCATTCATAGCAACTGTCCACCTCTGAGATCCTCCAAAATTACCAGGGGTGAGGAGATTATATTAAAGTCTCCAAGCATAATCCATGGAACGTTGGCAAAACAAATTGAGTGCGTATTGATGCTTTCCTATAGCCCCCTCCTATCCACATATTCATTAGCACCATACACAAAGGAAGCATAGAAGTGGGAGTTATCAGACAAATAAGTTACTGAACAATGCATAACTTGTCTAGTGGCTTTGATCAGCTCAACCTTGAACAAATCAGGGTTCTAGAGGACCCAAATTCTTCCCAAAACAGAATACTCATAATTGTGCAAGGCAGCCCATCTAGGGCATATAAATTTGTGTATATTTCCCATATTTTCCTGTGCCACCTTAGTTTCCAAAAGTGACACCATATCAAGTTTATTTGCAAAAATCAAATCACGCAGCTGGAGCTGCTTAGAGAGGCTATTGAAGCCTCTGGTATTCCATACACAGAAACAAGTTATCGAGAGGGAGCTTTATGCTTACCTCCCATCAGCCCAAGCCCTTTGTGGGGAAAGACTGACAAATGCAGGTTGTTACCACCCTTTTTCTTCTTCAGCAGAGATCTTTTGTCCTTTGTTGAGGTTGAACTGGATCGACTTTGTGAAGATGAAGACATAGAAAGTGACTGCTCTGAGCTAGCATCATTCTCAGCATTCTCACATGTGGTGCCCTTTTGATCATATGTCATGTCTTCAGGATTCACAGCATAGGATGTTGAACAAGCTTCAAGTTTTGCAGTGGGAACTGAATGGGTGAGTGCTCTAGCTAATTGTTTGGTTTGCAGAAGAGATAATCCTTTTGAGGCTGAGGTAGAGTGAGTTGATGGGGAGTTAATGAATGCTAAAGGTGGAGGAGGATCAAGTGAGATGGAGATGGTTTGTTTAGCAGGTGCCAGTGGAGAAGTATTTATTGTGATATGGTCCTAGCTGCGAATAAAGGATGGGATATTTGGCTGAGTTTGGGTTTGAGAACTTGCCAAAACTGTGCCCTTAGAAGATTGTGGCTTTCTAGATGGAACCATTTGCCATGTGGATTGAGGTAAAAAAACTCCAGGGCAATGGGAAGAGGTGTGTCCAATCCTTTTACAGGAAATGCAGAAAAGTGGCAGCCCCTCACACTCTACAATAATGTCAACCATCTTCCCATCATTCTTCTTCAAGGGGAAGGAATACACCAGCGGAGCATTAAGATCAATTTCAATTCAAATCCTTACATACTTCAGTTTGTGCCTACCTTCTGTGGTTTGATTAGCATGCAATGGTCTGCCTAAGGCACTTGCAATGTGACTAAAACCCTTTGCCGTCCAGAATTGAATTGGAATTTTGAAAATCTTTACCCAAACAAAATTGTAAAATACTTGATATATGTTTTTGAGTTTATTTATTGTGGCAACAAACATTCTCATTTTATCAAAATATTAAAATTACCTGATCTGGTAGTCTGACATGAAAATTATAGTGTTGAAGTAGTCCCAAGCAACACATAAATTTATTATTTTATCAAAAATACCTGTATTCGTGCGTATTTTACCCTTTATGATTAATTTTTGAATTGAGAAATTAAATAGTATTGGGTAAAGATATTTTTGTTAAAACAATTACCTCACATGTATTGCATGCCAACACTTTAAAACTAAAATTTTGTAACTTTTTGATGAGTTGTGGTGGTTTGTTGCAAGAAAACAGTACAGGTGTTTTTTTGCATTACTTTTTATTTTTATTTTTTTTATGGTACAGGTGAGTTTAGTTCAATTTGACACACATACATGCATGATACAGGTATATACACATGCCTTAAAAACACTCATATTTCTATTATTGGACTAATGTAATTTGGATAGTTTGATTTGGTATGCTGGAATACCCCGATTGGTGGTGTACAGAATCATTCTGTACCTTGTCCGCAGTGAATTATATCCAAGGGATCAGATGCTTCCCACTCCACCGTACCATCCAAAATTGCAAGTATCCCCCCTTTCCCTTCCTGCACAGTAAACCCTAACATCCCAAAAAGAACTTCGCCACCAGACAAAGGTACCCCCCTCTCTCTCTTTATATGTATGCGCACATACACACACAAATCGCGCACATACACACACAAATCGAACAGGTTTAAGCTTAAATCTCAACTCAATTTTGATCTTTATATACGTGTGTATACATATAGTCGGTAAATATTATATTCCGTATTGTATTAGAGTGTTGTTGTAGTTTAAATTGTCGAGGAACTATTGACTCAAACTAGCGTGCTTATGGAAGTTATGGTTAATTGATTGATTGATTTCACTAGGGTTTGCGATTATAAGCTTCTAGGGTTTGTTGTGATTTGTGACAGTTAGGGTTTTTCAATGGCTGATCGCAACTTGGCGGTCGTGAAACCAATATGGATGAAGCAAGCAGAAGAGGCGAAGCTGAAGAGTGAGGCCGAGAAGACTGCTGCGGCGAAAGCAGCCTTTGAGGCCACGTTCAAGGACGTGGAGAAGAACCGTGAGGCGGCTTCGTCGGATAGTGATGGTGAAGAAGAATCTGAGGACTTGGCGAACAAGCCGATTGGGCCGGTTGACCCAGCCAAGTGTGCGGCGGCTGGGGCTGGGATAGCCGGTGGAACGGCATGCACACCATCATCTTTTATGGTTGTGACGAAGGATTCTGATGGAAGGAAGGTACCAAACGGTGGTGCGCAAGTTAAAGTGAAGGTTTCCCCTGGAGTGGGCGTTGGGGGCTCCGAGCAGGATGGGATTGTGAAGGATATGGGTGATGGGACGTACACGATTACCTATGTGGTTCCAAAGAGAGGGAATTATATGTTGAGCGTTGAGTGCAATGGGAAGCCAATAATGGGTAGCCCCTTTCCAGTGTTTTTCAGTGCAGGTACTCATTTCAAAATTTTTTTTTGTCAATACATATGAATATTATATTAAACATAAATTTGTCAATTTGTTGTGAATATGATTGAGAAGTTTTGCGATTTGTGTAATACTTGTAATTTCTCCATGGTATCATTCAATTAGATGCTCTTCAGTGTAGGTGTTATTTTAGCAAATCTTTGTATATATAATAAACATGAAAATCTTGTTAAACATAAGGAAAAAAGATATTTTTCTTAACCGTCAAATCAAGGGTCCTAAATATGGATACATTGCCATGGATATTTATGATGTTGGAGATATTGCATTCCAACAAATATTTACAAAAAGAAAAAGAAATTAATAGAAAACATGAATTTTTGTAGCAAAACTTTGATACTTGAGTGAGTTATAGGTGAGATTTTAAGTTGTTCACTGAGACGTGACTACCTTATTGCTGAGAATCTAACTTAAAAAATCCAATATTTCAAGTCATTAATCACCAAAAGGGAAAAAAGAAGAGGAAAACAAAAGAAGAAATGCATAAATGCAGTGTATGCTGTGTCTAAATTTCAATAAGTGGCTAGGCACTGGGAGGTTCTCATAGAATATTGATCTAGATAAATCCGTTAATAGCCATTCAACTATTCAAATACCAATATGACAGTTTAATTGGACTTAATATTTACAAATATTTGGCACCCCCTAGCATTAGATAGAGTTTCAAGGGGTCTGAAGCCACTATTAGAAAATCCTGTTCAGAACTAGAATGCTTGTTAGACCTACATATGACAATAATTTGGACATATTAGTTTGACAAAATTTGATTCTAATGCACATGTGTACAGAATTCTTGCAGTTAAGTTTTGCATTACCGGCTCATGTCTAATAGTTCAGAAAGACTTGTCTCCAGCCTGAGCAAATGAGCAATGTAATTCAAAACGAGATCTTGAACATGTATTGTGCATAAAACATCAAGCAAAATGAGATCTCCATTTGAGATAATCAACATGTCAAGATCTCCTTGGAGAAGTTGCTTAATTGAAATGGACAGCATATAAATAATAAGAACTATAGATGCTCAACATATTGCTGAAGACATCGAATATCTCGATGCTCTTTTGCGTACTGATTAACATAACCTGGTTTGTGTTGTATGTATAATGTAATTAATGAATGCATGCTGCACAATTTTTTTGTTAGTTTATTTAATATGGGAAATTTTGTTAATGTTGGGAGTACTTTGAACGATTTTTGAATTGTATGTGAAATGCATAATTTTTATTTGCTTGATATGGAACAAAATGCTTTGTTGTCATTTTCTCCTTGAAGTGCACTGCTAAAGCCAACCAAATTCAATTCTAAGCTTTTCATGATGATATATTCATTGTCGATTTTTGTTTCTTTCCTATATCTCAAATTATTTTAGTTAGTGAATAATTTTGGATCTTGAACATGTACTGTGCAGGTACTACTACTGGAGGACTCCTGGGTTTGGCTCCGGCGGCCTCATTTCCAAATTTAGTTAACCAGACCATGCCCAATATGCCAAATTATTCGGGTTCCGTATCGGGGGCATTCCCTGGTTTGCTTGGAATGATTCCAGGCATTATTCCTGGTGCTTCAGGAGGAGTGCTTTTGCCTGGAGTTGGAGCATCTCTTGGAGAAGTTTGCCGAGAATATCTTAATGGTCGGTGTGCAAAAACAGATTGCAAGTTCAATCACCCTCCTCACAATCTCCTGATGACTGCTTTGGCCGCCACGACCAGCATGGGGAATGTCAGTCAAGTGCCCATGGCACCATCTGCAGCTGCAATGGCTGCTGCTCAGGCAATTGTTGCTGCTCAAGCCCTTCAAGCCCATGCTCATGCACAAGCACAAGCTCAGTCTGCCAGGGACTCTTCTGGTATTTTTTTAGCTTTTTATGCTTTTAATTTAAATGACATACGCTTGCTGGCTTATATAGCTATTTTCTACCGTCCTTATTCCATGAAAATCACATTTATCATAATTGGACTGGCCGATTGACCCGTTTTGATGGCTGGTTCACCATTCACCCGTTTAACCATCACCTTAATTGGCTGACTAGAGCAGTGTAGAGAAGGTTTATTATTAAAATGTTTCAAGATTGAACGAAGAACATATTTTTTACTAGTCGATTTTGTCTTCCCAGTCTCAAATCAGAGGTGAAGTGCTCAATTCTTCACGCGCAGGCTGCCACCTTAAAATTCCTTTATTTTTTAAATTATTATTATTATTATTTAAAATATATAAGCGCACACAGTTGTTTGGTGCAACCCACGCTGGGTGAGGATTGTACCCAGGGGTGTTTCGTTTAATAACTATGCTGAAAAACAAGGTTTGGTCATCATTGTTAATTAGTTACCGAGAACTGAAAACGACAGTATTTGCTTGTTTTATTTTTCTAGATAACATATCTTATTCATTATTAGTTAATGCAGTTGATAGGTTTTGCATTCTTACAAGTACTCACCTGACAAGATTGTTGACTCTTCAATTACCTATCATTTTGGCGTTCTTGTATTTGCTTCTATATATTGTTGTTTTTTAATTTAATTTAGATTTTTTAATTTTATTATTATTATTATTTTTAATTTTATTATTATTATTTTTAATTTTATTATTATTATTTTTTATGCCGTGTTTCTGATTTCGCTTGATTATTTGGGGCAGAGTTCCTTAACATTCTCGTTTTCTTCTTTTCAGGATCAGCTGACAAAGAGGGGAAGGCTGATTCCTTGAAGAGGACTCTACAAGTTAGCAATCTCAGTCCACTTCTCACAGTGGATCAGTTGAAACAACTTTTCAGTTTTTGTGGGACAATTGTTGAATGTAGTATCACTGATTCGAAGCATTTTGCCTACATAGAATACTCAAAACCTGAAGAAGCAACTGCTGCTTTGGCATTGAACAATATGGATGTTGGGGGTCGTCCATTGAATGTTGAAATGGCAAAATCACTTCCACAAAAACCAGCTCTTTTGAACTCACCTCTTTCTTCATCTTCTTTGCCCATGGTGATGCAACAAGCTGTGGCCATGCAACAGATGCAATTTCAGCAGGCCCTGTTAATGCAACAAACAATGACAGCACAGCAGGCAGCTAACCGAGCTGCTACCATGAAGACTGCAACAGAACTAGCAGCAGCTAGAGCTGCAGAAATAAGCAAGAAGCTGAAAGCCGATGGATTTGGAAATAATGATGAGGAAACAAATCGAAAATCTAGGTATGTTAATGGTTCTATAATGAGAAGATCCTCTAGTCATGTTTTCTATAAATTGCTTTTTTGAACATTGAAACCTTCAAATGGAGGAGTGGCTTTATTATGAATCAAGAAAATATTTCGTTTGCATTAGTTGAATTTGAATGATGCCAAACTTAACAAAATGTGGGCTGACAAACTTGGGAAATGATTTCATCAAGCAGATGGGTCTACCATGGTTAAATGTATAGGTGTTACGCATAGTTTTCAGCTAGAACCTTTTTTACACTGTTGTCATTGCTTGGATGAAGACAATGAAGATTTTGGTGTTTTGAGGTTCTGAAGAAAATTAATTTGTGGTTGAAAATAGTTTTAGGTGGACAATCATGAGTTCTGTTTGAGTACACTTGTGAATAAGTTATGATATCTTTTTATATTTATCAAAAAAAAAAAAAAAATTTATGATATCTTTTTATACAACTAACTAATTTGTCTTTGAATTTAAATTTAGGATTGCCTGGGATAGAAGTGCATATACTTACAAGAAAAAGAGATAACAATCCCTATGCTCTATACTTTTGTAGTGTTCATGTATTCCCAAGCTGACATATTATTCATCCATAATGCTATTGATCAAATATTCATCTAATGTCAAGTACTCTTGACCAAAAACTTGTTGCAATGTTTTTCCCATTGGTTAAATTCATGTACTTTTTAAGTTTACTTATTCTAATCCTTTAAAATATTGATTATGGAAACCATCAACTCCTTTTGCTTCTTAGTTAGTGTTAAACGTCTGAAACGATTTCACTTCGTCCCTAATTGATGTTAATGGTCTTTATGATCGTAAGTGTTTTCTATGATCCTTGTAATATAGATATCCTTTTGCTTGTCCCAAATATTATTACCCATTGGGATTCTAGAACTGTGAATTGTTTGTGAATCATCATTTTCCCCTTCATTTTTAGTTAGACTTGAACATCTTGGATAGTTCTGTTTGGTTCTCAATTGCTTGTAGTAGTCTCTTGTGATCCTGGAGCTGTGGAAGATCTCAAGGAACGTTGCAAAGCTTACCAAGTGTTTTCAAACATCGCTTGGTACTGGGTTGTGGACTTCGTTTATCCCTATAATATTTGTTTTTTAAGAATTACTTCATAATTGTCTGAACTTAGGAATAATACTATGAGGAACTCTTGATACCCTTGGTACAACTTTTTGAGAGATCGCTGTGATTGACCATCTCTCTTCTTTTTTCCTCATTCTATTATGGCTTTCTTGTTTGAACCTACAACTTGGCATTGCTATATATTGTGGGCCCATCCTTTTGCCCAGGGGCATTTTCATTTTCACTAAAGAATCATGGTGATACAACCATCTTTTTTAGGTGCCTTACACTTGATGAGAGGTACAGTGGATGGTTTGATGACCTTGGTCAATGAAACAGTTGAAGGATATACGCCTTGTTTGATGTAGAAATTTTTTGGTTTAGGCAATTTTATGCATCAAACCTTCAAGGACTATATCTCCTGTCATAATTTGGTCTTATGTATTTCTACATTCTTAGTATACTTTTTTCCCCAAGAAATTTCTACTAAAATGTAGGGTAAAATGTTTCACAAACTTTGACGCTAAGTTTTCCCCCAGTGTAAAGGATGCAAGGTGTACCCCAAACTGGAGTTGAACATGTATGGATATGTTGTTCTTCTGATAAAGTGGAGGTGAGAGTTTCACTGATGGGTTGGCCACTTGATTTGGTGGCCCCAAGAATTTTCTTATTGACGCGATTAGTTGTACATAAAAGAATTTAATGTAGAGCTGACACAGTTGTAAAATTTGATTTTTTTTTTTTTCAAGTAGTCATTTGTCATTTGTGGTATCGTGTTTGATATAATGACAATATACTATGTTATTGGATTTTTAATTTTTTTATTGGGCTTTTGTAATTCCTGGGATACTTTGATCTTGACTGATAAATGGGTCAATGCTAATGTTCACAGGTCACCATCCCCCACCACCCGTGCTAGGTCACCATCAATCACTCGTGGAAGGTCAAGATCCAAGTCGAGATCTCCTATCAATTATCGGCGAAGGCGGAGATCTCGTTCTTACTCGCCTCGATACCGTCAATCAAGAGATCATAGATCAAGATCACCATTAAGATCTCGCCATTACTCCAGCTATGAAAATGGACGACGGTCTTATAGGGACATTAGGGATGACGGTGGCAGAGGTAGAAGAAGGGATTCAGGTAGATCACATGACCACCATTCTTCTGTTTCAAGGAGAAATAGGAGTAGGAGTATGAGCCCTCGAACGAGGAAGTCATATCGGGGTGATTCAGACTCACCAAAACATCGTCGAGATAGTTCAACACACAGGACGAGGAAACCATCGCGTGCTAGTTCAAAGTCACCAGGGCATAGAGGAAGTAGGGCGTCCCCGAGAAGTGATGATTTAATTAAATCAAAACACAGAAGGCGTTCCAGGTCAAAATCTGCTGAAGTTAAGCATCAATCCAAGGATAAATTAGATGACAGCAGAGAAGAAAAAACAAAGCATCGGAGTAGAAGACGGTCGAGGTCAGTATCAGAGGAAGGTAAGCATCACAGAGGAAGTAGGTTATCCCCAAGAATTTTGGATGAAAGCAGATCAAAGCACAGAAGGCGGTCCATGTCAAAATCTCCAGAAGATAAGCATCACTCCGATAATAAAAAGAAAAGAAGCAGAGATGAGAAATCAAAACATGACAGGAGGCGGTCCAGGTCAATATCTGCAGAGGGTAAGCGTCAGAAAGGAAGCAGGACATCCCCAAGACATTTGGATGAACACAAGTCAAAATATAGAAAGCGCTCACGGTCAAAATCGTCTGAAAATAGGAGTCGTTCAAATGATAATAGTATAGAAGAAAGTAAAGATGAAAATTTAGAGCATCATGATAGAATACCTGTCAGATCTGATGATTCCATTGAGGAACCTGCATTGCATTCAAAGGATTTGACTGATGAGAAGGATGAAGGGATATCAGTTTCTTTAGCAGCTGCTTACAAAGAGAGCTCCTCGATTATGGAAGACTACAACTCAGAAGGCAGAAGTGACGAAGATAAGCATAACAGTTCTAGAGGGAATGGGAGCAATTATCATGAGAAAAATGAGGTTACCAATGAGGATCAGTATAATGCTGAAGAAATATGAACTGAGTAATGCAGACACTATAATTTGAAGAGTTTCCTCAGTGGGAGATGATTTTGGACATTACATCTACAGTGGAAAGTTTGGTCTGATTTAGAAAGCAAGTTGAGATTCATATTGAAAAATTTATCCAAGTTTTTCTAGTGGGGAAAGAGGTCCTGCTTAGTGGAAGAAGGGCTGTCTCTTAGAAGATCGCTTGGTGTTCCGTTTGGTGCTCAGAATTTTTCTGTGGATTTTTGGCTCTTCATACAATAAAATTCTGTGTTTGTTTTCTTTTGCAGGTTCAGTGGTTACAGATCGGCTATACTGTCTGAGCTGATCTTATCATGGTAAGAGAATTTGAAGAAGCTTTCTGTTCCCCCTCTGGGATCGACTGTGCAATGTTTTTAGAGAACTTTAACATCATGATGTACGTTGGACAATATAAGTATTCATCTCTATCATTAGGTTGTGAATTTCGTGATTTAAGTGTCTTATCTGGAGGATTTTTGTGACTCTTAATGGTCTGTTTTTCCTTTGATATTTTAATGATCTGTTAAAGAACTCCGATGCTTTGTGGAGTCATATCCTTGATACAGTGTAGGGTAGGGATTTACATCTTAAACAATTGCAGGCCTGCTTGATCTAAATAAGTTGCTGCATTTATGCCCTTTGGCGAAGATGGCCATACTTCTATAAACTGAGAAGACGAACATGCACTGTAGGTTTGCTTTCCAAATGTTCATTCCTTGAGTCTGTGATGTGCATTTTTTGTTTTTTCAAATTTGCTTACAGTGAGGAGTTAGGTGACAAGTGTATTCCCTTCGAATGATTTTTTTTTTTTCATTTCTTATGTGGCCGGTAAGGCTCCATTTTATTTACCTTTAATGGTGTGGTGGGCCTGCTGCATTCCAAACACATGCAGGTTTTAGATGCTGGTCTCTATTGGCGCTTTATCAGATCAATTTGGCAGGGTTGTTTTATCTGATTGCATATGAAGGTATGCAGTTGCGGATTTTGGTAGTTCATGACAGGAGCTCTTGCTGTTAAACTTTCAAGGAATTTCTTTATATTTGGGAGTTTAGCTGGATATTGTTTGGGATGTGAAGATTTCTTTATGAAGTCTAAGTTTTTATTTTTATGAATATTGTTTAAATCTTGTACCTTACTTCCTCATCTTCTCTTTTCCCCCCCTCTATTTCTCCCTTATTCTATTCCCCTTTTCCATTTTCTTCATTTTCTTTCTTTTCCTCCTTTGGGAATTGTTTGGTTAGGTAAACTACTTTTAAAGTCTACTCCAACCAGATGTTGCTGAGATGACTAGCGTCAATGTTGCACCATGTTGAGTATGAGCAGATTGGCTGACTAATATACTTAAATTCATGCTGAAATTCAAATATTTTATAACAGGTAATTCTTTTGTGAAATTGTTGAATTCAGATATGAAACTTAATATGTCGTTCGTAGAAGCTTCAGTTAGTGTTGGCCACTTAGATGTGTGCCTATTGACCATGCGGATCCTTATGAAATTTGGGTGTTTTTTTGATCTATATTACTTGTCCTACATTAAAACTTGTATGTTACTTGGGAATTATTAGTGTACCTTTCTTATTTGGGGCTCGGAAAAAACCTACAATTTTTTATTTATTTTTATGTTGAATAAAAAACGTACAATGTTGCTGCATGCTTTATATATATATTTCCACTACCCCCACAAAGATCGTGATCGTCTCTATTGCTTATGACATGACCACAATTTTCATCGTCTGTGGCTAGTCATTCTTTTTCTTGGGGACCTGTAGCCCAGACATCTAGTTTTGTTTCAACTATAAGAGATCATATATGACATTTACAAATGTGACTAATGCATGTTCCCAAGGCTCCAGTTGATTGCTTCTTGTAACTAACATTCATGATGGGGAGCGGCAGAGAAATCGCTCTCGTCATGATCCTGCTGTGTCTAATTTTGTTCTGAAAACTGTAATTTGTCTTTGATAAGTTTGTCCCATTTTACTCTAGTTTGTGCTTGGTTTCATCAGTGTCTGAAACCTATATATTTTTCTGAAAACTGTAATTTGGCTTTGATAAGTTTGTCCAACTTTACACTAGTTTGTGCTTGGTTTGTTATGTGTCTGAAACCTATATATTTTTCTTCTCTCTCTTGGCATTTCTTCTTCCCCAATCCCCCCCTCCTCTCTGTTTCTGTTGCTTGGTAGGATATGCTGTGGATGTGGACTGAAGGCTGAAATTGTGGTTCCAAACTCCGGGCTTAATGCATTTAGCGCGACATTGATGTTACTTTTTTTTCCTTCTCTTTTTCTGTCTTCCCCCATCTTTTTGTCCTTTTTTTCTTCTTTTTCTCTCTTCCCCCATCTTCTTTTTATCCTTTTTCTTTCCCCTTTCTTTCTTCTTTCTTTTTCTTTTCTTTTCTTTTTTTTTTTTTTTGGTTTGTTTGTTTTTTGGTGCAAGGATGATAGCTCTAGATGAAGGAAATGTGCACCGAGCTGAGGAGATCCGCATGTAGTTTTCTTGACCACTATTTTTAGAACTTGATCTTTTTGGTTTGACTTAACTGTGGCGTAGTCTGCTATTTTCAGAACTTTTATCTTTCTCTCAGTAAATACTATTTTGAGAACTTCATCTCTATGTGTTTTGCTCAATCGCAGCTTAGTCTGAATTTATAGGTCTACTGCCATGATTTCTAGACAAAATATTTGATGCTATGCTAGATATATGCATCAGTTGTGGAGGAATATTGTTTCGACGTGTTTCGAAAGGTCATAGATCTTATGTTTTTATCGTATTTTGTGAAAAACAAGAGTAATTTAACTGCTTTTAAAAAGTCAAAATGTTGTCAATAGCCGAAGAAATTTGTTGTGCTTTGGCTTGCACTGAACTGGGTTTCATAAACATCATGAAAATGCCATTTTAATTCGTGTTGCTTATGCAATGGTATGTTGTTTTTATGGGTGCAACTTTTTTCTGAATTATATCATACAGGCCTTGCGTTCTTGATTCTCTCTCTCTCTCTCTCTATATGTATGTGTGTGTAAATAGGATACTGGGACTCTTGAAAAGAAACAATGCATATTGGGGCTGCTCTTATTATTAACCTTTTAGCGTCTGTTTTAAAATAAGATGGGGCGTTATGGTATTGTTTGTTTGGGGCTTTGTACTGTGTTTTTAAGTCTTGTTTAGCTTTGAAAATTTGAAATGTGTTGTTGAATGTGCCTTTAACGTAATAGAATTGCTAGATTATTTATTTATTTTTATACATTATACAATGATTAAGATAATATAATTTATATATCCTTCTCTTCTTTCATCTCTTCCGTCCCTCCGAATCCAAATATTGAGGGATGCAAAATAGTGGGTGGGAGGAATGTTTCATTCATCCGTTGTATTTTATTCTCTTAAATCTTTTTCTCGAGACTTGTTTTAGCCTTTTATTACTCATCTCTTCCCTTTCATCGACTAGAAAATTGAAGATTTTTAATTTTTTTTTAATTATTAATTAATTCCTGGGTTAACCTGCTATTACATTAAACTAAATTACGTCCTTTTCGAGTTCTATAAAGTTTATAAGCTAGCACTTTCACAACGGATTATTATAACCTTGATCAAAGTTTTGTTTGTACAACATACACAAGTTGGCTGGATTTAATGACGATATCAAGATTTTTTGGATTAAGTGTAGTTGCCTCTCAACGTCAATGAATTGTTGTCTTCGGTACTACCAAAAACATGCGAAAATTTTAAACCTTCAGTATCCGAAGTCATTTTTTAATAAGCAATAATTTAACAACTTTTGGCTTCAAGTGCTCAGCAAGTATCAGAGCTGAAATCTGAACATGTGGTAACAAATCCTTTAATGTTTAAGCAATTGTCACAAATAAATTTTCCTTTAAATTTTAATTATAACTTTTTGAAACATATTCCTTTTGAAATTTCTTTCAATGTAAGATGATAGATAACCCAACTTTTCAATCGAAAACAAGGAGCGCAGTTTTTGATTGAAATTTCAAAGGGTCAATGAGAAAAAATGGTACTTTTACATTGAAGTAATATACCAAAATAAAATGTTCTTTTAAATTTTAATTTCTTGGGGCATGTTTTTAAAATTTCAAAGTGTTCTAATAGGTGTACCTAATTTTTCAATTGAAAACAAGACACGACTGTTGGGTGCCTCACAAAGTCAGGGTGTACACTACGAGAAAAACTTAAACGCTTCTGTTATAAACATTGTGTCACACACTAATTAAACACCACGTAAGTAAGAATGCATCTATGTTGATGGGTCTTATTACTCTTTAGGTCGGTATTTAATTAGTGCATGATATCATGTCATCACTACAGTAATAATATTTAAGTTTTTTTTCCGTACATATGGGTTCCATGACTTTGAAAGACGGATTCAAATCCTCTCATGTGGAACAATGTTCGGTCCCTCTAGTTAATGATGCACATTGAAAAAAAATGATGTAATGTTCAACCTTACATCGCAACATTTTCTTAAGGCACATCAATAAGTGGAGGAGACTATTTCGGTAGGTGAGGATTTTGATCCTTTGAAAGTGTTGGTAATTGTAACAGTGCTCTTTCATAGCTATTTTATGTATATTAAGCCTACAAATAACACCATTATCAGCATTTAAGCAATCATCACAAAATAAACATGTTTCTTTTATGCATACCTTAACTTTTAATAAATAAAAAACAAGAACTAAATCATTGCTTTTAAGTGTGATTTATTGTCAGTTCTTTGATGCATTGAAGGGAGACTCATATTAAGTCGATAGCGATTTGATGCTCGTTTTCGAACTTTAAAAGGTCGGTGCGATAAAGCATTTTTCAATTCCAATAATATATTTATATATATATATATATATATATATATATATATTTTACTTTTTCTATTTCAAATGCAGAATTTTTTTGAAAGAAGTTGAGACGTTTCCATGTATTCATCAATAGGTGCCATTTTATGACTTTCCAAACAAAGAAGAAAAATCCACCCTCCACAATGCTACTGTAATGCTACTTTCAAGAGGAAGGTGCTGAAAAGAAAATTCAAAATTACTTCTGAATTCCATAGCTTGCACTGTTGGTATCGCTGATATATATATATATATATGAACAGTACTATCACTTTTAAAATAGAAATTACATGACAAGCACAGATTCAATAAAGTGAAACTCATTCTATTAATGCTTGTTTTGACAGTAATTCACTATGATTCTTAAGGGACTTTAACCTTCAACCTCCATTTTGAGAGGTTGAAGAAATACATATAAAACTCATTTCATTAATTTAATAATTAACTCACAAATTGTTTTCAGATTATTTGTTTTTAAAAAACAATATCTGCTTTGACTTATGTTTTAAGTCAGACAATTTTTTCCATAATATTATTGAATTGTACCCAACTCATTTGTTTTTAAAAATAATGAGCTACTTGATTTAGTTTTCTGAAAACAGTTTTGAAAAAATTATAAATGACAATTTTCTAAAAACAATCTGTATTTTTAACTGAATATCCAAAAAAACTGCAACCAAATAAATTTTTGTACAATTTTTTTATTTTTAGTTCCTTAAAAATAAAAAACTATTTTAAAAAATTACCAAACATGCCCATATTTTTCCTCGACTTTTGCTCAAACAACAAAAGAAGTTCCAAAATGATATACTGCTATGTACACTCGAGCTTAATTTTCTCAATTTAACAAGTTTTTCCGTTTATATCTCATTTTTTTCTGAATCATGTCATGCTTTTGATTACATATATGTCTTATTAATTGCGTCTTAATGATTTAGCCTTCTTTCAAAAAAAATTTAAAAAAAATGATAAAAACTTAGCTGATATTTACAGAAGCCTGAATTTTCATTTGGTGTAGTTGAGGTCACCAGATACACCTCATACAATAATATACATTGTTTCGAAATACATGTATTTCTTTTAATTAAAAAATGACATAAATTATAAGCTAGGGATTTGTGGGTGCATGTTTTGATGTGGTTGCTTCAGCAGCCAAATCATATGTGTTTACATGTGGTTTGTTTAATTAGTTAAATATTGGTATGGGTAGGTTAACTAGATAATAATGTTATATATATTGTTGACAAAGAGTTGTACTCTTGTTGAATTAATTAAGTATATTTATGCATTTTCATTATTTTTTCTAAAAACATCCTTTTCAGGGTCTATATAGGCATGTAAATTTAGACAATATTTTTTAAACTTAAATTAAATAATTTTATTAATAACATGTCCACAGGTCAGCTTTCAGTGACATTTGCATGATATATCATTTAATTATGAAGCATGTTTTTGTCCATTTTATTCTTAAGTTATTATTTTACAAAGAGGGTTGATATTCATGTTCCACAAACGTGTAAGACATTCCACCCTCCTATTCACCTAAAATAAAATTATATATATAAAAAAAAATTTCACAAAGCATTGAAACCCAAAGTGAATTCTATTTAAAACTTCGGTCGTCTTATTTAAATTAATTTAGGTATACAATATGTTTTGTTAATTTATTACATACTTTATCATTAAAGGTGAAGAACAAATAACACCATTTATCAATATTTAAGCAATCATCACATAATAAACGTTCTTTTTAAAATTATACGGAGTAATTTCTTCCAATATATTCCTTTTAAAATTCTAAACAGTGGTGCACATTAACTTTTAATAAAAAATCAAGAACGGAATCATTGTCTACCCTTTGATGCTTTTAAGTGGGATCGATCGTCAATCTTTTGATACATTTAAGTAGGATCCATGTTAGTTCTATTTAGATACATCAAAGGGGTTGATAGTGATTTGGTGCTCGTTTTTTATTGAAACTTGTAAGGGTGGATGCAAAAAAAACATTTTCCAATTTTGAGACTAATTTTTTTTCTTTTCCAATTTCAAAACTAAGAAAATTCTGAAAGTAGGCAAGACCTTTCCATATACTCATATAATCAATAGGTGACATTTTATGACTTACCCAAAAATAGAAGAAAATTCCACTCTCTACAATGTAGCACTTAGCTTTCCTCTTGATTGTACTCCTGTGAACTAGCTACAAAGCCATTGTGATGCTAATCAAATTATGGGTTGCAAAATGATGGACGAGAGGAGGGATATACGGGCTTCTCATGTTTGGTGGGAAGGAATGGAAGAGAAAGAGGAAGTATCCCTCATGCTTTATATATGCTCCGTTTGGTTTGATAGAAGAAAATTGGATAAAAAAGAGAGAAGAAGAGATGAATTAGATTTCCCTAAAGAAGAGATTGTGTACTTCTATCTTTTTGTCTGGTTGAATGAAAAAGAAGAGAATGTGATAATACATTATTTTGTTTGTTAAGAGGAAAAGAAAGAGAAAGTGTTAATTATAAGTAAAATTTTGTAATTTAAGAATATTTATAATAGCATTGTCTTTCTTCCCTGTGTCTTTCGTCCATATTTGGAGGGAAAAAAATTTGTGAAAGAAGAAGGATGGTTCATCCATCATCTTTTTTCTTTTCTTCTTGCCTCCTCTCTACCAAACGAAAAAAGTTTATTTATTCGTTCCTGTCTTCCTTCCACCCCTTTCTTCTTTCCTATCAAATCGACATTAAAGTTTTTTTATATGTTCAAAATTGGATGAAGATAAGAGGGAAAGTGAGAATAACTATATAAATATATAGCATACTAATTTACCTTAAAATAAAAAAAATAAAAAACACTTGTTTTTTTTTATAATTTTAAATAATGAAAGTATATTAGTAAAAATATATAAAAACTCATACCGCTCAAAAAATATGAAGAAGTTGTCACCCATTCATGATTTATTATGCCTTCTATTCAACCAAATAAAGAGCGAGAGATGCCTTCTTTTCCTAAAATGCCTCATCCATATTTCCTTTCATTTTTTTCATCACTTCAACCAAACAGAGTATAAGACAAAGTAGGTTAAAAGTAAAACAACCAGTACTGTTTCTGAAAGCAAATTGGTTGGATACAATTCAGTCAGACTAGGGGAAAATTCTCGTTTGACTTTAAGCACAAGGTCGAGCAAAAGTCAAAGTAAAAACTGCTTTTTAGAACTTAGATGATAATTACAGAAGCCTGAAGTTTTCATTTGGTAGGTCACCTAGTCAGATACACCTCCATATATACAATGATATATATAGTTTTGAAATACATGTATCTTTTAAAAATGACATAAAAATGAGAAGGGTTTTTAGGTTGCATGTTTTGATGTGGTTGCTTTCAGCAGCCAAATAATATGTATACATCAAAATATATATATATATATATATATATAGATATAGTTATCCCATTAACAATTGAAAAAGTTTTAATATATCGAAAAAAACAATTGAATAAGTTTAGATTAATTTTGGCCTTTGACAACATTGAGGGTTGCAATTTATGTGATTTGTCTCATTATTTTCAATCAACAGCTGGCTTAGTTAAATATTGGTGTGATCGAGTAGGTTAACTAGATAATAATATTAATATATATATAGTTGATAAAGAGTTGAACACTTATTGTATAAAGTATATTTAATGTATTTTGATTTTTGATCTATATATATTAGCCTGATAAGCATATAAATTTAGGCAATTATTGTAGCTTAATTAAATAATTTTCTTGATAATATGTCCACATGTCAGCTTTCAAAGACATTTGCACGATCTTTTAATTACGAAGCATGTTTTTGGGCTTTTTATTTTTTAAATTATTATTTTACAAAATATTGTTGTCATTATTTAAACATAGCAGCTTGTGTTTCACTAACAGTACTATATTTAAATAATGTCAACAATATTTAAATATGTTTAAATAACATCAACAATATTTACGTAGAATTAAAAAAAAAATTTATTTCAATTTTTTAAAGTTATTTTTTTCTAATTCCATACCCACCAAGCATGACCTTAAAAAAAATCCAATCACTTTCACAATATGAAATATCGGTTCCATTTTTTTGTATTATGAACTCATAAAAAATTAAAGAATTGTGCTTTCAGCTCATTGAAATTTATTGAATTGATGTGACTTATTTTGTTTCAAGAATTATTTTTTAAAAAAGAGAGAATAAGTTGCAATAATTTGGATTCAAGTTGGGTGATGTTACTTTCTTAAATATGATTTTGACGTCACGAGGCTTCTTATTTACAAATTTTAGAATTAACATTCTCTATTGTTACTATAATAAGAACAAGTCACAACAAATTCACACATTTAAACAATTATGGCTGCCTCCAAATTTTTTTTTTTTTTAGGATAATTACACTGACTTTTCTTAAAATTTCGTCAACCTACCCTCTCCTCTTGTTTGCCGTATTACACTTATCTCTCTCGAAATAAATAACATAAAACTTCCCTTCTTTAAAGGAAAATATTATTTTTGACGAAAAATGATGATATTTACAATTTTTTATTTATCAAATTCTCATTTTACCCTCGTGAGCTTCGGTTTGGGTGACCATCTCTTCACCGAAACCGACGAGCTTCAGTATAAATCCACATCTCTCTCTTATAAATTGGGTGGGGACGGTTTTTTTTCTTTTTCATATATTTTGAATAATAATATCAAATTAGTATTATATTAAATATTGAAAGACCTCAACTTAGATAGTTGTCACTTCACTTGTATAAATATTAGTGCGAGTCGTGTGACTTTTGGCAAGTGGTTGAGTTTACACGTATAGTTAATGTGACATTCCCAAATTACCCTTTCCCAGGACACCCCTCTCAGAATCGTTACCCTTTAAACCACCAACTGATTTCAATTCCAACTACAAATTCGGATCCACAAGCACCGGAGCAAATGCAGAGAGAGAAACATTTATATAGATTTTAGAGAGAGAAACACACCGAGATGTGCAGCCATGGAGTGATCTCAAGAAGCGACCTTCGCTTCTCTCTCCTCCAAGAACAACCCATCCGTACCTGCACGCCCGACCCGTTTCTTCGCCTCACCTTCACGACGCACCTCCCGAAACCCCGGGTCTCGTCTCTCAAAACCAGAGCAACAATCAATGACGGCCCTGTCACGTCGTCGCCGCCGCCGTCGCCGACGACGGCGGAGATGATGAGCTTCTACGAGCTTCTGGGTATATCGGAGACGGGAACCCTCTTGGACATCAAGCAAGCGTACAAGCAGTTGGCCCGGAAATACCACCCGGATGTCTCGCCGCCGGGGTTAGTCGAGGAGTACACGCAGAGGTTCATCCTGGTTCAGGAGGCGTATGAGACGTTGTCAGATCCGAGTATGCGGGCTTTGTATGACAGAGACATGGCAAGGGGTATTCATCTTGCGTTCTCTGCTCGAAGAAGTTATCAGAGTGATGAGGTATTTTGGTGGTTATTTGGTTTTTGTGTGTGTGTGTGTGTGATTTGAATTTGGTTTTTGCTGTTATTTAATAGGAATTGATATGGGGTTGGAGGATTTGGGAATTTTCAGTAGAGTTCCTCTTTTATTGTTGGTTAGAATGGCTTATACGTATGTGCATATATGTGTTGCATGTACGTCTGTTCAATTTGGGCTTTTTTTGTAAGTTAGTCTTGGTGTGATTTGGTGTGTGTCTGTGTGCTTTTATTTTGGTTTTTGTTATGTTTTTGGTACATTTGTTTGGTGTTGGTGAATTGCAAGCTTCTATATACATAAATATGTGTGTATGGGTGAAATTGTATAACCTAATATTGCCATATTTTTCATATGAAGTTGTTTGCTTATGTGCAACTTCAATAATCAGCTATGATTTGGTTGCCATAATGTTTAGTGGCTTTGTTTACTTTTCTGAAAATTTGAGGGTTTGTAGAACTTCACTATTTTCTATAAGTTCCGACTTCTGATTTTCTTGACGTGCCTGATCTGGATATGACTAAACATGGTGGTGGTTTCTGGGTTGACATGAAGAATTAATGAAGTTTTTTAGTTCATTATTTTCGTGGCAATCATTATTTGACCTTTCTGATTTTATTTTTATTTGCTGTTTTTTGTTTAATCTTCAATATTAACTTTGGAAATTAGAAATATTGGAATATTAAAACTTAGAATTTTTCAACACATATATAGTACATTTCTTCCCATGTAGAGTTGTCCATTTGGACACTTCTGGACATTGTATCAGTGTCTGGCACTCCTTTGAATACTTGTACAAAATATAGTAATAATAATAATAACGATAATAATTATAATAATAATCTTTGTCTTAAAGTTTCCTGTAACTCTATGTACAAGGGACTTTCATGCTTGTTTGATTGGTTCTTCTGCATGAATAACAAACCTAAATGTTGATAAATGTGTTTAATTAGAAGCCAGCATGTACAGTCACATAGGTGATAGGCCTATCTGTGTTTACTTTGGTGGGTTTTTTTATGCCTGAAAGTACTGGTCTGTGTTGGAATAAAACATATGTCCTTGTCCACAAACCATATGATATTTGTCTGTAAATATACTTAACTTATGTTTGAGAGTACGAATTGGCGGATTAGATTTGAAATCGGAAAAAATTTAGTTCAAAATTTAAACTTAATTTTCTCCAATTCCAAATCCAAGGTGGCAATTCGGTGCTCCCAAATACTAATTTAACCAGCGTATGAGTTTTCTCTCGTTTATGACTTGTTCTCAATTTTTTGATTCACCTTTTTTTCTGTCTTTCTAAAAATTGGCTAATTTTTTTTTTATTTCATTTGAAAATATATCTCTGCTACAGTGAATGTTCTTTATAGTGTGAATAGAAGTCAAATGAAAATTAAATCAGTTCTCTGTGTTATGTAAGACCCAGTCTGAATGGAAATTTTCTTTCGTAGGGGACAGACGCTCTAATTAGTATTCTTATTTAACTTATTAATTCTCTATATAATTTGTAATTTCATGGAACAACTTTCTTTTGGTTCATTTAATATACCGAGTAATATGGAAAGTGGGTTTTATATTTTATTTTTGTAGTTGTTCATAGATTGTTGTCTCTAGTTTGGTCCTCTCTTTTATCTTTCTCATTATGCACTTATAGTTGTGTTTATAGAACTGTACCTTTAATTTTTAGATTGGGATTTATTTTCTTATATCACTCTGTATTTATCGGGGCTTGCTTTGCATTCAGCAAATGGAGGATAGAAGCGAATGGAAGAACCGCTGGCAGACTCAGCTCTCGGAGCTAAAGAGAAGAAGCATGAGCAAGGACACCGGTGAAAATATGTCGTGGGGAGCACGAATGCGCATGCAAAGGAATGAATCATCTACTGCTTCATGAATAAGTTTGTTAAATTTGTGTATATATTATGACCTTTTTACATGGTTTTCGAAAGCGAGAACTAAAGTACTAGCTGGTTAGTATGGCTTTCAACAGCAAGGGAAAACACTTGTAAATTCAAAGACCCTTGTTGATGTATATTCGCTGGGGCAATAACAACCATAACTGTAACGCGATAAATTGTACATAGAATAAACATATATAAACATTTCTCGTACCATTTTAATTCTCCATATCAGTCACTTTTTATTTATTTTCATTCTGATCATGTTAATTACTTGTTTGAGTTGGATTGAGGAAAAACTTGGTGGATTTTATGGAACTGTTGAGAAGGAGAATGGAAAACTGACCTTTCTTTACCACCATATCTATTCAATGGACCATTTTCAGTGGTTCTGTTTGTGGTAAAAATGACCTTTCGGACCTCTTTCCCATCGTATTCAATGCTAGTTCTAGAGACCATTTTGAGTGGGTCCTGTTTGTGGTAAAAATGACCCTTCTTCCCCCACCTTATTCATTGGTTATAGAGACCATTTTCTGTGGTCCTGTTTGTGGATAAAACCATACCCTTCAAAATTTTCCTCCTTATCTTCGTATCGCCTTGTAGGATCTTCTTTGGATGATTAGTAGTTGTCTGATCTTTAACGAGAGCCACAACTGTGTTCTGACTGGTATTTCAGATTTGGAAAATTCTATCACCAGAGCGCTCTCACATGAACACACACCGACACCCGTCCATCTGTTTAGATTGAGTATCAAATGACATCAGGCACCCAATCCAACGAATGAGTGTGCGTGCACGCTATGAGAACGCCTTCATTGTAGTACTGTCTTCTCAATTTGCAGAACTACCTCACATCTTGGAGGTTGACATGTGAGACGGCGGGGGGTACTCTTTGTGTCCCACGGTATATTACGGAGTATTGTAAGAGGCCGGACCACCATGGTTAGACCTATCAATGGATCGGATTCGGATCGGATCGATCAAATTCATATCCTATTCGTTAAGCAAACGGATTATCGAATTCGGATCACTAACGGATTTTCGGACTGAATGTCTCCATCCATATCTTATTTAGCTCGGGCTCGGATTGGATCGAATTTGAAATCGGATTAAATTAATATTTACTAACATATATAATTATAAAGAATATGATTTTATTAGTATGTGTATTAAGAGATTTATTAGCATGTGAACGTCAACACCACAATATTTTTATATAACATTATTATTATTTTGGATTTTTGGGTTACCTTTTGAGTATTGATATATATATGTGTAAAATTATTGATAAATAATTATATATATATAATTTCAATTGGATCGGATCGGATTTTTATCAGATCGGATCAGCATAATCCATATCCAATTTGTTAAGCTAACGGATTATCGGATCGTAAACGGATTATCGGTTTTTTTGTTCAATCCATATCCGACTAATCGGATCGGATCCGGATCAGGATTCGCTCCATTGACAGGTCCAACCATGGTAGATTATTGAGTATTGTAAGAGGCCGGAAATTCATGGTGGACATTATCTTTGGCAGATCTAACTAAATGGTGAACTGATTTTGAGTGTGGGAAACCATGTTTTTCCAATGATCAGAAAAAGTTAGCTTTGAGCATTTCACCTCTTGTCCTTGCTATCCTTTTGGGATAAGATTGCGAGATTAGTCAGTCTTCTTGTTATTGGATGTTAATCATTGATCTGCATGCCAAATTTGAACAAGTTCTGTTTTTGAAAGGGTGGGGGATTAATCTCTGCATGTGATTTGTCCCTGTTTTGTGTTGCCAATGCCAACTTCGATTCGTCTATCTAACAATGATGGTAAGGTATCTCAATGACATAAGCCATTCATTTTCTACATCCAACATCAGCATGGTCTGAAGACTTTTCCCATATATTATCTATATTCTATACATATACACGCACGCACACACACATATACATATGATGTATGTTTTGACTCTTCAGTCTGACAAACTGGAAATCTCCGAGCTTAAATTCATATTTACTATCATACGTCACCACAAGGTGTGGTTCCATCCATAAATGCCATTGATGGCTCTTATTATTAAGTTGAGCATATGAATTAGGAATAAACATTTAATTAGAAATAAATCAAATACTTACAAGTCTTAGTACAACACAGCTAAATACAAACACATCTGAGTATATTTATGTGATACAACAGTACAACACAGCTAAATGCAAACACACCGATAGCCGAACATATAGCTAAACAATATCTATAGACCACCGCTTAAAAACCGTGAACACACATTTTGACCGCTTATAGCCGAACGTATAACACATCTGACTACATTTATGCGAATCAAATGTGTCTGACTGCCTGCACTACCTATATACTTAGAGACTACTGCTTAAAAAAAAAAAAAAAAAAGAAAAAAAAAAAGAAAAAAAAAAAACTTTTTGTAACACTGCAAACTGAACATCCTTCAACTGATAATGAAAGAAGGGCAAACTGAACATCCTTCAAAGGAGCAACCATATATAAACGAAAAAGCATTGTGTTGAACCGCAAATGTAAAATTATAAGACGCAGCACGATACAACTTAATAGTTGAGAAGTCAATGAACACAAATTCACAGGTAACAGCAAGGCTAAAATGGAATAAAAAACCAAGATATTAGACAGCACAAATCGGGAAACAGATTGAATATGAACTATAATTACATCTGACGTTAAAAAAAAAAAATTGAACGAGACTACGTTTCTTTTCCCTCTTTCTTACATTTCTTGTAAATAAGAGCTCTATGTTACAAATCAAAATTGTGGTGAATAGCAGATACCACAGCTAGTTTTTCCTTACACTCAACTCGAAAGAGCATCTCAGCTTTAAGCAAATAAAATAAAATTGCACAAGCTTGTAAATCTCCCTCTCTACGCAACGCTCTCCCAGGTTGCCTCCGCCTCTGGGGCCTCAGAGACATTCGAATGAATTAGTTGTTCAACGTGGAGGCAAAAAATCTCTCTCTAACCCTAACCCAGTAAAGATGCACCAACATACCGCAGAGCAAGGCAATTCATTCAAAACAATTCCTGGACAGAGTAATCACTCGTGGGTGTTCCTTATTGCGGCAGAGAGCATTACAACGAATGAATGCAGTGGCAAAATCAGGAATCCATCTGGGTCAGATGCTGCTATCAATTCGCAATAGCTTGATCCTCCGAAAGGTTTAGTGCAACAGATCATTCCCTTTTAATTAACAGTTAGTAAGGAATAACATATGGCAGAGCACAAACATCAGCTGACTCTATATGCTGGGCTTTGGCCCATACCTGTGGTGTCTCATTGGTCCCAACAGAACCCACCTTGGGATTAGATGAGTGACTGTTGCTATTAAACAGCCACTCCTGGTCATCAAAATCAAACCATTCTTCCATTTTGGGAACTGAAAGTACCTGGCTCAGATACATGGAATCAGGATGGGGCGGCTTCTTTGATGCTTTAGCCTTTGATACTTTAGCAATTTGATCTGCATGTGTCGTTGCAGACAAAGGCTTCACTGAGGAGATGGACAATGATGGCTGCATTCCTGCTACACCATTTAACTTGTGCTCCTTATCATCTGCGCACAGATTACTGGCAGCTCCTTGCATATTGGAGGTAAACATGATGGGAGTTCTGCAAGGTTCCAATTTCCTTCCATTTTCTGTCAATGGATTAGAAATGGGCCTTGGCATTTTAGAAGGCCTCACATCATTGTCTGTAAGTCCATTCACAAAGCAAGCAACACTAGTCAGATAAAGGTTAATCAGTAACATGCTTGGAAACATTACTACATGCTGTATTGGGAAATGCAGATGATCAATTGCTGGGAGAATATTAGGATCTGGCACTGGGCCAAACTACTTTTCCTAACACTACTCCTGGTTGGGGAATAACAAATTCCCAATTGTTTCAAACACATCTAAACAGCAATAAACACCATCAATATACAACATGTTAAAGAACTCACCATGCAAAAATCCATTTGTCCCAAAGTCTTTTCTTTTTTTTGAATTTCCCTCAGCTGCAGCACTCTTGTCACACTCCATGGGATCGTGTGAGTTTTTAATATTGTGAGTACCAATAAGGTTATTCTTATTGCTATCTTTAAATCTATCCTGCTCTGTGAACTTGTATTCATTTTTCTCCTTCACTTTCTCATCTTTCTTTCTCTCTTTTTCCCTGCCTGTATCCTTCAAAGTTTTTTTCTTCTCCATATATTTGTCCTTTTTGTCCCGTCGTTTATCATCAACTTCCTTTTCTTTGGACTTCTCTTTACCTTCCATCCTTCTCTCAATGTTTTTGTCCGCTGGTCTGAACATCCCTTCAATTCTGTTTTGGACGATTCCAGTAATATTATGGACCATCGTACTCGTACTTCCACTAAATCCTGCCTTGTCCCTGATACCCTGCCCATCCATCTTTTTATTATCAACTCGTATATCGTTGTTTTTTTCCTTCCCTTCAACCAGAATTCCAGTATCATTGGCCACCATCTTTTTATTATCAACTCGTATATCTTTGTTTTTTCCCTTCCCTTCAGCGATACATCCAGTATCCTTGGCCACCACTCTGTCCATTCGGACCTCCTTTTTTCCATCTGCACCAGTAAATCTCTCAACCAACTGGCACCCTGCTCCCTTTTGTTCATCTCTGATCCTCCTACCCAACTCCTGCACAAATCTAGAATCCATCTCTTCAGCTGGAAGGCTGTTTCGAATGGGCTTCTCTCCATTGTGAGCCTGAAACTGTATATCTTGTTTCTTCTCATATGTGATACTGCTTTTGTCTTCGTGCTGGTTCTTCTCTTTATGATTAAGCTTCTCTCCATTGTAACTCTCAGAATGCCCTGCAACTCTCTTCTCCCCTGAGGTGCTGGCTTTCTCTTTATCTTTGTCTCGGTCCTTGTCCTTGGGTTTCTTTTTGTCCCTGTGCTTTTCTTGCTTGTCCTTCTTGTCCCTATGTTTTCCATCACTTCTATCTTTATCCCTTTTTTCTTTATCTTCTCCCTTCTCTTTGTCCTTCTTCTCCTTTTTATGTTTTTTCTCTCTCTGCTTCTCCTGAAAAAATTGCGAGGGCTTAAAGTGCCTCCAACTTGAAACATACAAGGGCCATAACATAGAACCACAACAAATTGCTCAAATGACCAACATCTGTATTTCTCACAAAAGCAGCATTAAGAACAGGAAATTACTCTGAATTGGTATTTGCATGAATTGGATGTTACAGGCAATACTGGCAGGTTGATTATATAGTCCTGAGATTATGGTCCATACCAAAAATATTCCAAGCTCTAGCGTACAAAAACTTAAATTCCACCATATTGATTCCGATAACATATTTTCATATTAATAAAATATAAATATATGATGGAAGAATAGACAAGAAACAACAATCAAAAGAGCAGGTTAACAGTCCATGGAAAAGATAAAATTCTGCCAACCCCTACCTTGAAAATGAATAAAATTAGTTAAAAGAGTGTACTTTCCTAGTAAACATACAAACTCTTCCCCTAAAACCTCTATGAAGCTAAGTGAACCAAATCAAAGAAACTTGGATCTCTTTCCTACCTTGCAAAAGCTGATATCCTCTCCTGCAAGGACCCATTATTTTATTTTCATAAACCAGAATACTAGTAAATGTTGACAGATCCCAAAGTGTCCACTAATTTCAACTGCCTTGATACATCAATTGAAACAAAACCACCGAAATGCAGAAAAATCCAGGAACCCTAAATAAGGATAACACAATCTGCCGCATCCAATATGCAATGGCCGTCAGCCTCTTCAGAACAACACAAAGAACACCTATTCATAGTAACCAGCCTCTACAGTTAATTCTTGAATAGGAAGAAAACAACTGTTGAAAGAACAACAAAAGACGACTTCAAAAAGTATCCCTCAAAATCTACCATCACGGCGATTTGCCCCTGCCCCCAACGTGATTGCCATGAAACAACCTCATCAAAGCAATTACATGGGTTCAGCAACATGAACAGGTTTAATCCGTTCAAGTCCTCCTAATTCTAGTATGCAGGGACCAAAAAGCAGAATTTACAAGGGTATGTACTCATGAGAAGCCTCCCCTAAACAAAAGCCTCAATTTCACCAAACCTACACAAGAAGAAGTCCTAGATTCAAAAAATATCCTCGATTAGCATAAACTTCCACACATAAACAATAAGGAATGGAGAATTATCGATATTCATTGGATATGCCTCCTAGATGCATGTCCAACAAAAAGTGTCAAACTCGGACACATATCTCACACCCACGCCTGAGTGTTGTGCGTTGGACACAGGTACTTCACTTACTATCGAAGAGTCCATGTAACACAGATCCACCCAATGACAAAGATGACAACATCTGAATTGAGATATCAGAACGATATTCAATATCAAGTAACTAGAAAGTTTTGTAGAATGGAAATAAAGGATTTTTTTTTCTTTATAGTGAAAACATAACTGAAGTTTCATTTTATGCTTCAGTGCAACATCTTTCCAATGAATTCGCGTTAATTATATAATTTTTAGAAAAGGAAAAGGGAAAAAAAAAAGCTTAAATATGTAACATATGTCTCTTATAATTTTTTGAGAATTAACAGTTTTTATACACTGAAGAAGGAAAAAGAAGAGCTTAATTATGTCAGCTTACACAATTATTTGCTTTCTCCAGTTCAATGTACTATGTGACACTTAAATTTCCTTGTCGCTCATCTATTTCCTCAATGGGACTAAGATTACAAAATCTGACATAGCAAGTACGACAACATGAAACCACACTCTATCAACCTTGATTAAGTTAAGGGAATGGTGAGCATAAGGCACCAACTCTGCCTAGTGTGGAAACTGGTTTCTTTTAATAGTAAGACAGCTGCAAAATATCACCTAGAAACTTAACCAGACTAAGCTAAATGATCAATCAAGGAAAATATATTAACACGAACTAAAGATCAATCAGATTTCCCTGAATTCTACAACAAAATTCAAGATTTCATAAGCAAGAATTAATTCGACAATGACCGTGTTAATACACCAATACCATTGACTGAATAAAGTTAAAGTGAATTCTAAATTCTATTCCCCCACAATAGAAATCTGACACTTTAATTTATTTTATTACTAACGGGCCAGTGGCCTAGCGGTATCAGACCCTTACTTTCCAAAGGGAGGTCAAGGGTTCAAGCCTCTATGAAGGCATGTGTGTGTGAGTACCAACTAGGAAAAAAAAGACACTTTAATTTATTACAAATAAAAACATGATATAAAATTAAATGTAGCATCAAAATCAAGTGCTATACCATGCCTATTTACGTTAATTAGATATAGACATTACTCATCTAGTTTCAAATAATATGGATCTAATTGGGGAAGAAGAAAAAAAAAGGGACAAGAGAAAGAGAGTGAACTCATAAAATCAACAAAATTTCAATTTCTCTGGAACAATCAGAAACTTGCACGCCTAAGAGTCCTAAATCTTAATAATAATAATAAAAGTTGTCTATTTATTGGACATGGTCAGCATACTTAAAACCTCCTCTGCAACTCTAGGTGTACAAAAGAATTTTGAAAACCAGAAGCAAAATGATTGGTCTCTAGAGAAAACTCCTACTTTGACTTCAGAACCCGCTGCAAGCTTGAAATGATCATAATTTTCACGTTGTTCTTTGTAACACCTCTATGTATTAAAAAAGGTACTGATCATGGAGTTAATGGATTGGAGGACCAGCACTTTAAGGCATCAATTCTAAAGAGCTTCAAAGTAAGTCGTTTCCGACAATTCCCACAATTTTAAAATCTCTTTGAAAGATCTTAAGATCACTGTGAGATGCTATGAAGTCTCAAAGACCATAAAAATGAAAATGTTAGTAAAAAAAAGGACATCATAGTCATTTGGACAAGGCAATAACTTGGCATGCGGTAAAAGAAACAAAAACGAAAAATGAGCAAGCAAGATCAGCCTAAACTGTCAGTCTACCAGCTGGCACTAAATGGGTGGACAGCTAAGGGTTATGATCCTATCATCAATTATAAAGAGATAAATCAATAACTCTTAAACGTTAAAAATTTGAGTTCAATTTCCCACGTATCTTGCATTCCTTAAATTGAATATAGACTATTGATATGTTCAAACAATGCAGGCTAATCTGACATCATTCTAGCATATTGTAATGATTTGGAAGCTGTAAGGTGCTGCCAATTTAAGAACTTTGGTAAAAATAATATCCAACCTAACCTAAGTCATCTAATCATGAAGGTCAATCCATGTCTTAGAGACTCTGTTACCTATAGAAGGATGTATAGAACTTCCACGTATGCATCTTAGACTGCTTAATATTTAATCTATTGGTTTTATTATTTTGCCACCAAATTCAATTTTTTTTTTTTTTTTTTGACAATCGTGGGTGTCCGGGCCAGCTTGCTCACACCTCGACTAATCCAACGAGGCCCTGAAGTTAACGACCAGGCAAGCCTCCAGTGGCCCTGAATTTTGCCACCAAATTCACGGGGACTTGAAACAACAACACAAGAATGACCTAAAACAATTTAAAGCATCTAGAATTCAATTTCTTTCTATAACCATTTATTTCTGTTCAGAAACTATAAAATAATGCACAGACTATCATGTTTGATGCTATTAATAATTAAATTTGTCTCAAGCTGGTTGAGATTCTTTTATCAGATTAGAAATGTGATGCTATAACAAGTGCAAGCAAGCTTGAGAACTTCTATGCAAAAATGAATCGCATTTGCGCAACCAAGGTGCCACTTAAGTAAAGATTGTTGCAACTACGATCATAGGCAAATACAAAACTAACAAGATTGGCTTCATCACTTCTACAATATGTGTATGAAAATTAAGGAAACAATGTCAGAAGAATGCTGGATCATGCAAGAAAATTCGAAACAATTACAAAAACTAGGACAGCAGTGTTATCATAACACACCAATATGCTTACTGCTGGCACGCGATCCATGCTTAAGAAACCACGATCCACTCCTGAGACTAATTCTACCAAGAAAGCCAGAAACTTTTGCCCTTACAAGTAGAAGCACTCCCACCAATTTCAACTGCCTTATTTATTTTTATTTTATTTTATTTTTTGATAAATATAATTTTTATACTGCCTAAATGACAGACAAAATTCATGTACAGCGCAATTATAGATTTTGCAATGACCTACTCTAGGGTGAACCTCCTTCGAAATACTCGATAAGTCCAAAGTCACCAGCTGCATAGAATTCTCATTCTCTGAAGTCTTAATAAATTTCCCCATTAAATAATATCAGAGCTTCATAGATCTTAACAAACAAAGTATACCAAGGGCAGTTATAATGAGTAATGACAAGTTTTGCAGAAAACCAAGCGTGTACCCATTTTTTAATCAAATAGAGCTGAAGACTATTTTACAGTATATCATGTAGCATATACAGAAGTCAGTGACAAACAATCACCCTTGAAAGAACTATAAAAAAGGAAGTTCTAAGAACCCTACATGAGATACCCATTTGGACTTCAATAAGCAACAATTTATACCTTACCTTCATTGGAGAATGGAAGGCACTTCAAAGTTGCTTTTCCATAGCATCCAAAATAACCAAAAATGAAATAATCATCTATCACAACATTACAAATTGCTCCACTGAACAGAATAATCATAGTTCACAGCATCAGTTTTTATTCACTTCTCCAGTTTTAATAATAGACATTTAATAAAAGTTCCTCTCTTCAACATTCACACATCTTATCAGCATATGGACATCTTGTAAAAGCAAAATAAGTATAAAACCAATCACAGAATTTGATATTGAGTAGCAGATTTCTTTTATTAACTTCCAGTACTTTGAGGTGCTTAACTAAGGCAATTCCCCTGTCAAAACTGCCAATTATCCAAAATCAGTTAAAAGATCTAATGAGGAAGTAACTAATATATTCAGTGAAATAAAACGAACAATTATAATGTCTCATAGTCATATATAAGGAACACAGTAGGACTTGGTCACTTTAAGATGTAAAAGTATGTAAATCTCATCACCAATCATTTTCTAATGTAGATTTCTGTGAATGCTCAGTTCAATATGTTACACCAATTGTTAATATGTCATATGGCGTCTGGAGGTAATATCAAGCAAAGGCAAATCAAGAAGTAAATAATTAAATTAATAATGTTTAAACAAGTAGTAACCAACATGCATTCATCCAACTAATTAAAGTGAACAATGGGAATCCTACTCAATAGATGCTATGGCAATTGCAGAAAAGGAGGTAATATGAGGGAAAAGAGACAAACCTTTTTCAGTAAGTCAGTGTCATCTGGTCTAGCCTTCTTTTCATATCCTGGTGGTGGGAATGGATAGCAGCGAGACATTGCACAAAATCTTGGAATAAGACAAACGGGCACTGCCGATAAACAAACACTGATATAATTAATTTCCAGCAGAACTGTTCCAATAAGGGAACCAACCGGCTACTGTGCTCACGTCCATGCACCATGTCCCCACATTCATTTCCAGATTCAACAATTCTCCATGAACTTTTTAGTCTCTCAAGCAGCACAGATTCCAAAACCCACAAAACTTAACTCACCTCTGGCTCCAAATCTACACAGGGATTGAGCAAATTCACTCAAAGTTCAATTTGAAGCAAAAGCTCCCTACCACACCTAATTGATCCAAACCAACTGCAATGTTACACTAGCACTGGGTGCACAATTCCGAGGCACAAAATTCACAAAAATAAGTTCTTTGGTCACAAATTCTGCTCAAATTATGTTAACCCAAATGGTTTTTTGAGGAAAGAAAAGGGACTACTACAACCTGATCTTCTATCTTGCCTGCTGTGCCAACACAGAACCATCACCTCCACCTTGTGATTAGAATCAGATACCAAAATCATCCCCAACTCAAGATCAAACACTCCAAAAGGCAGCAAAATCCAAGAACCTGCAAACAAGTAACTTCCCACTTCTTGATCAGCCTCTAAACAATTATATACGTGCAATCCTCTTCCATTCACAGAACAATGACCAATTTCAATGCCCAAAAACACAACACCAGAACAACCCAATCCACGACCTCTAACTCACGATACACGAAGACAGCGATCCTGAGTACACTTCAATTGACCCGCAATCCCTAATCTGTTCCTCAATTGTAACCCTAATACTCCAAGAATGCGAAATTTGAGGCCTCCCCAGTAATCGATCAGACGAAAACCCTACACTCCAAAAGAAACATGCTAAGCACATCTCTCAGTTCCAAAAAAACAAAAAACAAAACCCTAATTCAATCCTTAAAAATCGAAAAGAAAAAAGTTTCATCAAAGTTCAAAAATTAGAAGGAATAAAGCGAAATTGGAATACTTTTCACCAATTATTCCTTCACACAGATACCAATCGAATGCGAATCCCAATGCTCTGAAGCTCGATTCGTAGCGTTAATGGACCAAAAAATGAATTTATAGAGATAAAGGAGAGAGAGTGACGAATTTATTGAATGTTAAATACCTTGTCCTCTACAAAGTGGACATAGTAGGAGGACAAGATCTCAGAGGCGAAGATGATAATCGATTCCACAATCACTGTGTCTCTCTCTAGTTCTCTGAGATTCTCTCTCTAGTTCTCTGAGATTGTGTCTCTCTAGTTCTTCTCTCTCTTTCTGGGTTATGCGTGTATTTGTTGTGTATTCTGTAATATGTTGTTCAGACCCTCTCCAGTAGGTTTTGTTCGGAAGTTACACGCGAATGAGGGGCAAATTTGAGGAATTGAGCCTATATAAATTTTTAGAGAGAGAGAGAGAGAGAATTTTTTAGAGAGGATGTGTCCTCCTTTCTATGTATCCCACGCGCTCACTGCGTTCGTTTTGAGTTAACTTTTCATGTAAGTGGAGAGGGTGATTAAAGTTAGAAACAGTAGTACTCGTATTAAATATATATATATATATACATATATATGTATATATATATAAATTAAAAGTTGGAGAAATTGGAGATTTGAGAGTGTTTTTTAGGCCCGATAAAAAAAATATATACATGACAAAATAAATATTTCAATTGGAGCTTTTCTTATGAAATTCGCACATGCTAGTTCTTCATCATCCAATTTTGTGTTTAATTGAGAAGAATAATTTTTACACTACGAATAAAAATTACAATATCATCTTTATAATAAAAAGTACCTTATATAACAAACACAACGGTCTTATAGTTCAAGTCTCAAAGTAAATTATTATGTCATTTGTCAACAAACATAATTATATATCATATTCATTTTTTTTTTTTTTAAACATATATTGCTTATTGAAGAAATGTCGAATTATATAAATTCTCTTTATTTTGACAAGCATTACTCAACCACAATCTTCTCTAAATCATTGCACACATTACATCTTTCTAAAATAATATAGGACATTTTAGAAGATATGTATGTTTTTATAATACTTTAGTAGATTATAGGAGATTTGTATATTTTTATAGAATACTCAGGCAGATAATATGATAGCTCTTGTATTTATACGGCTCACTTGTAGAAAAGATTGTTATCAGTTATTTATTTACTATTATTTTATTTTTCCAAAATTCTAGGCTATTATAATATTTTAATTTAAAAGTTAAAAAATATTATTTTATTTTTCCAAAATTCTAGGCTATTATAATATTTTAATTTAAAAGTTAAAAAATAATAATATATCAAACTATTAGAACATGTTTTTTAATCATGTTAGAGAAAATATATGACTCGCATATCTATTGTTTTATTATTTGATTTGATTACCTGGGCATTATGTTAATTAAATTATAAAATAGTTTAGTTCAATCAACAAAGTTATCATTGTTGTGCCAAACCTTATGTTGCATGTAGAGACTGTCTTGACAATGGCTGTCTCGACAATCCACTTGGACGTCAAAACAATTACGAAAGTACTTACTTGTATTGGTCACTATGATGGCATGTATGCTATGCATTGATTGACCTTAAAACTTCTTTTATACATTGGTTGGCCTTGAACTTCTTGAGTTGGTACAAGAATTTTAGGATGCACATGAATTGATCTTAAACTTTTTAGGTTGGTACAACAAATAAGGGGGCATACGAACTGGTCTTAAACTTCTTTTTAGTTGGTATAAGAAACTAGGGGTGCACATGAATTAAATTGCTTAGGCATGCATATAGAATCAAAATCAATATCTAACGTTTTAATAAAAAAAGAAATCAAACCAAACTGATGAGGGTTTTTGAAGCGAACCAATCCAATCTGTTCAAGACTAGATTGAATCGAATTGGATTTGTGAATTGAACTTCTTTAAACAACCCAATAATTAGATATTTTTCCTAATTACATCCAGTAAAAATACAATTTGCAATTATTTATATAAACATTAGCACCATTTTAAACGCAATTTGTCATTATAATTCAACTTTGCAATGACAACTAAACTAAAAAATTGAGGTTTTATACTTACATATGGAAATTTGGTATGAGTCTCATTTGACAATTTTTGTTTATGCTTTTTGCAAAATAAAAAGAGGGGCAGAAACTATCAATTATGTGTTAATGATTCAAAACTGTATTTTAAAAGAGATTTGCAAAAGAGTTTTTATGTTAGTGTTAGAATATATTCTAGAATATATTGTTGTCATGTATAGGTTTATCATATAGGGTTTAGGTTTATCATATATAGTTTAAGTTTACTTGCTCTCCACACATGTTGTCTCCTATATAAATTCTTATGTATTACATACATTACATCAATACACCACACATGTCGTCTCATATATAAATCCCTATGTATTACATACATTACATCAATACAATATTCATTCTCTTTACATTTAACATGGTATTAAAGCCACCGCCGGAATGACATCAGTCCCATCCCCGGTGGCGGTCAACCAACAAACTCATGCTTCCGCACTCCGAGGTCTTTATATGCCCTGTGCAAGGCTCGCTGTCTAAATCTTCCTTCGGGGAACCCAACAAGATGCCTCATTTAGAGAAGCCTAGCCTAAAGATGTCCCGTATAGGGAAGCCTCGTTGTTTAATGAGATGTTTCGTTCAGAAATGCTCAATGTGTCGGATCCGCTCTATCACCGTGCTACCATGAGCCTCAAGTGGTAATCCCACTCTTCCATATGCTTTCACGCTCACCAGCAGTAATCCCGCACCTTTAAAGTGTCAGATCAGATCATCATGCGCTCACAAGCGCCTTCAACATGGTGAATCTTCACAAATTCATTACCTATTAGTTTATAGTAGTTACCACCGGGATGGCAACATCAACTTATTCACGCTCCGCACCTACCTCCAAGATCTTCACATATCCACCCTGCGTCACCTGACATGTCAGTATTGGTGCAACGTCAAACACATTCTATAACGGTGCCAGTAGTTGTGCCACGTCACCTACTATGTCAATTGCCACGCATCAGAGGCGCCAGCAATAGTGCCAAGTCACCTGCCTCAATTGCCATGTCATCAATCACCTTGCATCGGTGCCACGTCAGCTACATCAGGTCTAAAGGATTATCTTCAAACTAAAGATGGCTTCATATAACTTATCTTGACTTTGAGGGGCTGTTAGAATATATGGTATAATATATTATTGTAATGTATAATATATTATTGTCATGTATAGATTTACCATATAGGGTTTAGGTTTATTTGTTCTTCACACATATCATAACCCATGTATATTACACACATTACATCAATACAATATTCATTCTCATTACTTTTAACAGTTAGTTTTGCAAAATATTTGTTGAAACAAATCTACATTGCGAATAAATGGGATAGTTGCCAAGAAATGTAAAATAATACATCAGTATATAAAATAGTTGGTTTAAAAGTTAAATTTTCTAGATTTTAAGGGACTTTACAGTTTCATGAAGATAAATTTGGCAAAATGCACTTAGTATGAAGGGAACATCATGCAATTATTGCATGAATTTTTCATGTACGGAGTATAAAGTACCATACTTTTGTGGTGGTGAGGTTAATTTAATTAACTTAACCAAAAAAAAAAATGGGTTAGGAAGAAACTAATAAAAGATAGAAACAAACACACAAAAAATTTGTAAAATGCACTGTGTGTGAAAAGGCAGAAAGGGTTAATAAACCTGAAGGTGATGATAGATTGATAGGACACTTGAAAACAAACAAACAAAATATCTACAATTTTGATAGAAAAAATCGCGGGTTTTTTCCGTTTAAAACGGGACATTTACGAGTGAAAAGGAGCTCCGCATCATCCAGGAAGAGTGTTCTGGGAAATTTTTAATTCCCGTTTGTGGGAGCTTTCTCATATTAAAGGTCTTTCATTAATAAGTCATTCGTGAAAAGAATTTTGTTAGAAAGAATTAATCGGAAAAAGATATTTGACAAGCGCATTTCCTAAATTACTTTTTAACTTTTAAATTATTTTTTTCTTGACATTAATATTCTTTGTCCTTAATAATTATTACAAGCCTCCAATAAAAAGTGTGAAGGCAGCAATGGTAAAAGGCGATGGCAATATTGGTGGTGGTGTTAACTGAAGGCAATTGCGATAGTGGTGGTGGTGGAAGGTGGCAGTTGAGGGTGGTGGTGGTGGAATGTGACGATGTCGGCAATGGTAGAAGGTCACAGTTGAGGGTGGCGGCAGCGGTGGTGGTAATGGTGGAAGGTGGCGATGACGATGGTGGTGGTAGAAGGTCACGGTGGCAGCGGTGGTAACAGGGGCAGCTCAATACAATATGAAGCCTTAGGCGAAAAAAATAAAGTAGCCTTTTAATTAAATCAATTCATATATTTATGCCAGTTAATTATTTGTTTAGTGATTTTTAAACCTATCACTAAAATTCTTCCAAACTCTAGTTCTATCATTAATTAATTGGTTATGTACTTTCTAATAGTCATATTTAACAATACAAATAAAAATTATAAACAAAATATATAATTTTATGATAACAAAAATTAATAAAACTATAAACCAATTTAAGTTATAGAATAATAAAAACTTATTTCGAATAATTTCATCTAATGCTCCAATAAATTCTTTAATAGAATATAAGTATATTCAAAATCTTCTTCTGGAGTGAGATTCTGATATTGTAAATTGTAACTGTGGAGAAGATGAAAAAAAGAAAATTACAATGAGAGAGAAGAAAAAATATATGAGGAATAAAATAAAAAAGAGAAAATAAAAATTAATAGGAGTCTTAGAAAAATATAGAAAATTTCACCAATTTTCACTTAAATATATATTTAATATTTAATTTTAATGCGTGTGTGTATATGCTGATGTAACGAGGATGAAAGAGAGGAAAAAAAAAAAAAAAAAAAAAAAAAAAAAGAAGAAGATAATACTAGGATACAAATATTTTGCGCACACTATTAAATTTTGTATTTGCTGAGGTTTAATTATATAAGAAAATAAAATATTTAGGTAAGTTATAATGTATAAAGGGAAAAAAATTTTGGGGGCCCTCAAAAAAATAAAGAATAGAAATCTTTTAGGTTAACTGTCAAATTTCTCTATACCTTAAAGTTTAATAATTAAATAAAATACTATAATTGTTTTAAGAAAGTTATAATATGTAGAGCAATAAAAAATAATGGGGCCTTCTTATTGGCTGGGGCCTTAAGCAACCGCCTAACTCGCCTAAGGCTCGACCCGGCCCTGGGTGGTAGAAGGTCGTGGTGGTTGGTGACAGTGGTAGTGGAGGGTGATGGTGGCAGTGGAGGATGGTGGTGATGGCAATGATGGTGTTGGTGGAAGGTCACGCTAGCGGTGGTGGAATGTGGTGG